TATCATTAATAGGCCATTTGGCAAAGCTTTTTCTGTAGTGGCCTTTCTAGCAAAATTTTCAAGATCTTTGTCTCTTATGTTTGAAAATTTTTGGAGGAAAAACTTAATTTTTATGGAAAAAGTTGCTTATAAGCAGGTTTTGCAAAAAGCAACAATCCATTGCTTCCTCCAAAACTTGCTATTTGAGCAAAGACAAAAGGCAAACATTCCCCCCAGAATATTTCAAACTCAAGAGAGAAACATTTTGAAATTTTTGCTAAAAAAGCAACTCTAGAAAAAGCTCTGCCAAATGGGCTTTATAAGAGATTCATATAAGAAATTTTCAATTATGTTGTTTTTGAAACTTCTTAGCAATGAAACAAGATAAGTTCTTAAAAATGAAAAAATCAGGTTAAAATACTCTCAATAAAGAACACACACAAAATGAAGAGTTCCACATAGGAACAGCTCAAAATAACACCCAGAGGTAAAAACTCCAGCACTCTCTTTTCCTGCATCAATCTCCTTCCCACTAATCCTGTCATACATGTAACAGGGGAAAGAAAAAAGAAAGAAAACAAAATACTTTTGTTCAAGTTTATAGAAAACTAATATGAACTCTAGAAAAGCTGTATTCCGAATTGTCTATTGGATAGCTTATAAGGTTCCAAAAAATATCAGATGATCTTTCTTTGTTTTACCTCAAAATTCGCAATTTCATTGGTATTATGTTTGGGAATGCTAGCAAGATCCCTTGGGTGATAAAATTCCTTGATGGATTGCATCATTTCATCCTTTGATGGCAGGTTATTTTCCCAGAAAGCAACTGAGCTATCCATTTTGCCTGTTACTCAAAAAAAAAGAAACCAAGAATTAAAATTACCTGCCGTACAAAGATCCCCGACTCTAACAATCTTAACTTCCAGAATTCATACCGCTCTCTCTTACAAATCTATAACCCAGAATCCTAAATTGAGGATCCTAACAATCTCCATTCCTAAACTTACCTAACAAATTAGGATTTGATTTTTAAACGATTAAATCAGAGAATGGAGTTTAGAAGATGGCTAAAA